CAGGCCTAAATTTTAACTTTTCTTAAACTGCATGAAATACCCTTTCTTTCTACAATACATAATGCAAAACGTGTATTAGATTTAGCGCTCCATTTATTATACTTTGAAGTGGGTAGTACCCTTCTAGTTGCAGGATTTAAACATTTAGTTTAATATGTGGTGTTTCTTGTTTGTTTGCTTGCTTGCTTGTTTTTCCAAATCTGGCGATTCAGGGAGGAAAAACAAATCCTCTCTAAATGAAAAGCTGATGTTTCCCCCATGTATGTGATCAGGGGAAAAAAATCTTACTGAAATCCTATTTGAATTAAGGAACTTGGTAGCAAGAGCCCAGTTGTAGAAACAAATTACAAGTTATTCTCCTTGCAGATAACTACGTTACATTTGAGTCTATCTTGCATCCTGGTAAATTGTGATTTTGCTTTAAATGTCCTAGCTTAAAATCACAAACTTAATCCTGTTTCTAAAGTTATTTCACTAGACCTCTTCTCTTCAGAGGAATTGTATGGCTCTGTATTCCCCATTAGTTCTCAAATAATCTGTTGCTATTCTAATGCCAATAGTAGCAACAATGTGGAATGCTAGTTTAAATAGTAGCAAGCTATTTTTTATTTTCTCTTGACCTGCTCTGTGCAAGAACAAGGAACACAGTGATGAAGGTTTGTTTATGCCAGGGTTGTCCAAGTAGTGGTCTGCAGGCTGTATCTGACCCGTGATGGGTTAGTTTGTAACCTGTGGGCATCCCCCATTTTTCCTGCTGTAGTGGTGGCATCTGGAGTAGGGCAGCATGGCAGGAGGGGGACCAATAAACTTGCTGCCTGCATGGTGGCATGTGCAGCAGTGGGTCGGGGGGGAGGGACTTGTCCTCTTGGTATGGGGGTGCTGCAGGGCCTGGGCCTATGTTGCTCATCACAGATCCTGGTTTTCTCTGATTTAAAAACAAACAAACAAACAAACCCCAATTTTTGATTTAAAAGAAGTAATCCAAAATCCACACTTTTCCGTGATTAAAATGAGACCTCACTAACACATGTATGTGTACACATACATACACAGTGGTGTTTCATTTTAATTACAGAAAAATGTGGATTTTTAGGTTACTTTTTTAAAAATTGAAAATTGGGGATTTTAAGTGGGAGGAAACTACGATCCCTGTTGCTCATGCAGCAGTGGCAAGGTGGGGGGGACTTAGCCCTGTGGCACAGTGAAAGAGCTTGCCTACTCTCATGGCAGCAGCAAGGTGGGGTAGGAACTTGCCCACGTGACTGTGCAAATGGGTGTTTTACTTTGCTCATACAGCCATAGGACTGTGCATGTAGCCCCCACAGTATGCAACTTGTGCATTATGCAGCATAAGCCCCTGACCCTTGTGGTGAGTGGGCCCACCTCCTCCCCCAGCTGCTGAGCTTTAACAGCCCTGGTTTATACTAGTGCTACCACTATTACAACAGTTGCTGGAGTTGGCAATAGTAATAATGTAACATTAGTGGTTGGAAAGAAAAAAGGGTTCTGTACAAGTTTATTCTAGAACCACAGGTGTGCTGACTACTTGGCTCGCAGTTCTTTACAGATGACATGATTTAAAAGAAAATAATTCATTGGGTTTGTCTGACTTTACTTATTTTCCTTGTTCTTCATTTTCAGCTGCTATTCAGTTGTTTTGCTTTTCTTCATCCTTCCTCCTTGCCTCTTTGTCACTTGAGGGGTTTTAAAAGAGCAAATGGAAAATTCTGATTAATTCTGTACTTGGAAAAGACTTTTCCAGTAAAGCATGATGAATAAGTCACAAGTGAAGATGATGTGCTTTGAGGCAACTAAAATAGCTTCCACACATCCAATAGTAGGAACTAGGCAAAGAGAAATAATAAATGATGGAATTGTTTTAACCCCGCTATCAGAACTTTCATGTATTGTCAGTAGATCTTTAAAGCACTCTTCATATTTCCCCCAAATTATTATAAAGTTGTGAGGCAGATCTGTTTTGTGCCCTCCCCCGCCCCCCAAAAAAACAACAAAAAAAACCCAGTCAGTAATCTAAAGATGCAGAATTTAGTACTTAACTTAAGCCAAACTTAAGGAGATAGGGGGAGGTTTTGATATCAGAGTGTAAAAATAAACAGTGAAAGCTTAGAGTTACTGTCATCCTTCAGGGCTCTGGGAAAGCCTTAGCTATCTATGTAGGTCAGTTAGTTACTATAGTGGCATTTTTCGTTAATTTTTTTTTCCCCTGTCACCACATTATAATCTTACATTCCAGAATGAGCATTGTATGCATTGAGATCCTAGCTGAATCTTTAAGGTTTTGTTTCTGCTAAACACAGACTAATAATACTTTGGGTCCTGGGAACCAATATTTTGATGCTGTTGGAGAAAACCTCTACAGCTCGCTTGGGCATTTTATTAATAACTCAGCTCGGGTGGAAAAATCCAGTTTGGTCTTTGAAAAATAGAATTCTAGTCCAGCTTTATGAAATTTTAAATCTGTTTCACCTGAGAAACTGGTGATGTTCCTTTTTAAAAAAAAGTAGTAAATTAAAAAAAAAAAATCTTAACCTTTTAAAAGCGGTGTTGTCTGATGCATTGGGCCTATGAAAAGACTTTAGTTTGCCTCTACATGGCAGAAGAAATAGCTCAGGAGAACACATTCCTCATTTTGTATTTCTTAGGAGGAGTCAAGTGAATGAACAGTTCTCCCAAAATGCAGATTTTAGTAAAAGACAGCTGTCCTCTATGATTCATGGTTAAGTCTCCCAGCTTTGAAAGTGAGGAAACCCACCTTTCAAAGCAGAACTTCAGGTGTAGTTATATTAAATGACTTTTGTTTGACTAGAACCTATTCTGTCTTATACATTCTCTTTTAAACTTTTAAATATATTTTACATTCATTTTTAAACTTGTACATCTCTCTTTTAAACCTGTGATGCTATATCTTGTAGTTCCTTAATTACCTTTTTTTTCCCTCTAAGATTTCCTGGGACAAAAGGACTTGAAATGTGTGTTTTGTTCAAGGAATTTTGATCCCTGTAGTAGGCTTCTGTTAATAATAACAACTGTCTGCCTAGAATTGGCTAAATTTAATATAGAACAAAATGCTCCAACGCAGAACCTGTTCTCGAACCGCTTGTTTTGTGCGATTATTATATAAATTAAACTCAGAAGCCTTTTGTTTCTATTGCTCTATCTTGATTGGATTTTTCAGTTATTTAATTTAAAAAAATCTGTGAAATTGACCTAAAACATCCTTTCATAGTAACATGCTCTGTGCGTGTGCGTGTGTGAGAAATTCCATCCTAAGCTTAACAGCCCATTCAGTTAGCATGGTAAAGGCACCACAGTAGTAACATACAAAGGAATGATTTGGCTAGCATCATGACGACTTTTGAGTCCCCAGTCTGAATGACCAGATATCTATTTATAATGGTGGCCATGTATCCAGATTCTCACTCTAAAGCAGTGATACTCAGCCAGGGTACCACAGCACCCTGTGATGCCTTGAGATCCTTTCAAGGGTGCCATGGGGTACCATACAATGTTAGCATTGATAAGTGTGAAAATACAGGATAAACCCAGATATTTCAAACAAACCCACAGGGTGTGTCCCAATGAGCGGGAACATGCGTTCCCTGGGAGCAACTAGCTGCTGCACATACTTGTGCTGCTGCCCTCGGGGCTTCCAGGGACTCCAGCAGTGGCTATCCAGGTTCATGGAGCCTGGCTGGATTTTGCCACATCTGCTGTCCTGCTTTTTTCCGGTACAGGCATGTTTTGTTTTGTTTGTTTTTTTTGACCATCAGATCTGGTGGCCAACCCCCACTTCCCCACCTCCAACCACGCTGCAAATTAGCAGCATGGCAAATGCCTGCATGTGCAGTTTGCAGCGCTGCACACAGGTCTGCAGTGCTGCAAACCACATATGAACACTCGGGGGGGAAGCATCCATAGTGTTCAAAACATTTTGACCTATTGTGTTCTTTGCAACAGAAAGAGTGAAAACTAAGAGGTAGCATTTTCAGAGGGGTGCCCCAAGTCATAAAAAGGTTGAGAACTACTGCTTTAAGGCCTTAGTGAGATGCTTTGAACATTTACTTTACCTTCTCACAAGGGCATTTTTAAATAGTTCTTGTGTGGGGTTTTTTTTTCTTTTTTGTCTATAAACTATTATGATACTTGCATATGAGCAAAGCTAAATGTATAATTAATTAACTGTACTGATTTCACAAACATCAGCAAGAGAAGTGACATTATACTGCATAGGAAAAACTGTGGACAGCTATATTTATGAACAGTTTTATGAACAGTTTTTCATGTTTCTGTTTTTTGACCAAGCAAAACCATTCTTTATTAAGGGTATATATAAAATTCCTTTTATTAATGCAATCATTATGGAGAGTTCTCAGTAATGAAAGATGTCTATTATATACAGTTGTCATTAGCTTCATTTCAAGTACGTCTTAAGCATTGGTAAAGTGTGCAGTGTGTGTCTTATCAAGTTTATATTTTGATTTTTTTCCATCTGTATTTCTTTTCTAAACTTGGACTATGACCCTGGCAAAACTAGCTACAGGATGAAACCTAAAACTGTCCCATGGTGTATAGGAGGTTGTGAATCTATAACATTTAATTTAGAATTATTGAAATTGCATCTTTGACTAACCGGCTAGGTTCAAAGCAATGTGAATGTAATGAAAATTGTGTGTCTTTCTGCCTTGAAAATCACTATTTACTATCTATTTCAAAGACTTCTTAGAGCTTATCACAACAGTAACAAGGTGGCTACTCACAATTAAGTATTAAAAGTAATTAACTAGGTCTATTTTAAGAATGATCTGAATTGGCTGCACTTGAAGCTCCTACCTATATAAATACTCTTAAATTAGAATATAGTTTTTCTCTGTTTACTTATTATACAGCACATGGCTTGACTTAAACTGCCTTCTGGTTATATTTCTAGGACTCCACATGGTTGTCAGTGGATTTCATAAATATCTAACTTTATTTTCCAGAACTTTGCCAAGAACATTTTTGCAATTCTTCAGTCAGTAAAAGCCAGAGAAGAAGGTCGTGCACCTGAACAGAGACCTGCGCCAAATACAGCACCAACAGTAAGACCAAGTCTTTATCTGAAAAGTGGTGTTTGTACATCCTTAGATAACATTGAATTATGAAAATAATGGCAGGAATTGTTCTGGAACTATTTTTGTTTGGCTCTCAAAACTTTTTTTAATACAAAACTTCTTAACTTTCCTTTGCTGTAAAATTTTAGAGATTTGAGCAGCTGACTTCTTTAGTTCAGTTTGTTCAATATGTACTTGCTACTTACAGATGAAAATTTTAGTACAAACTACTGTATGTACTAAACATTTGGTAGTATTTTGCATCTACTTAGAAGTGTATTAGATGAGGCTATTGCTATTTCAAATGCAGTGCTTTGCTAACTGTATTTTTGACAGATACGATAGCAAACATTTAAGAGTCTGGAACATGACTCACAAGTAAGAGCAGTTTTGAACCAGCTCCCTTATGCCTATGTTAAATCAAGAAGACATTTACATTTTTATTGTTCATGTCTATCTAGGCATTAGAACAGAAATTGTTTTGAATCGTGATGTTTACCATTGAGCTTTATTAAACCTAATAAATATATTCTTGAACTTCAGTGGCAGTGTGCTATAAAAATCTGTTAATCTTACTTGGATTTATTTTTGATACCTCTGAATTGCATGCATACTAGCCGGAGTTCTAGACCGAAATGGCAAGATTTAATGTTTGCCCCTCATTGTATTTAATAAATTGTGCATGAGGCTATTCAGATATACCATTTGGAATAATTGTAATTGTGTGGCTGACTTGACCAGGAAAAAATGTATGAATTGATATTTAGTGTACCATTTGGTTTGCAGCTTTTTGCAGGTGCATTTTGATTATTCCCTTTTTCCTCCCAATTTGTTCCTGGTGTGTAGGTTTAGTAGCTCTTTAGTTTAATCTAGTTTGCAATGAATCTTCTATGCATCTGGCTGAAGAAAGAGCAATATATTGTAAGATTACAATTCACTCCTAAACTTCATGCTGTTTACAAACTGGATTGATTTGGATTTTAACTAACATTGCTTGCTACTGCTTTGTGTGTCTTGCTTCAGAAAGTTGTCAGGCTTCTGAAGAGCATCTTTTTGCATGTTTATCGAAATCTAACTCTCTCTAATTTTGTAATAAATGTTTTAATGAAGTGTATTAAGTAAAGTTTGGCAGACAAGGTTCCTTGGGTGAATTTGATATCTTTTATTAGACCAAAAGTTTCAAATTTGTTTAGAAACGTCTTAGTATTTGCACAAAACTAAAAATCAATTTACACACACCTTTTCCCAAGTGCAGAAATGAAAATGCATTAATCGGCAAATGCCTTTTAAGTGTAGCAATTCTTTATTTAATTTTGTTTTAGGATCCCACTTTACGGAATAAGCAGCCTATTCCAGCTGCCTACAACAGATATGATCAGGAAAGATTCAAAGGAAAGGAAGGTAAGTTGGTTGTGTAATGTATTCTTGTTAACTGTCAGTAATTTCACTTTGCAGTTTTCGAGTACTTCTGTTGCATTGGGTGGGGGTGGGCAGCTATTATACTATGAGAAGCTGTATTAAGTGATCTTCTGTCTCAACATTTAAGCCAGTGATTCTCAACTAAGGTGCTGCGGTATGAATGTCACCGCCGGCAGGTGGAACTGCCCAGTGTGTCTCGTCTGAAGATAGTTTGGGAGTGGCTATAGCTGGAGTACATGCTCTTGTTGCAGCCCTTTCCAGTCAGATCACGCACACTTCTCTCACTAGCACCGGTGCATCAGGCAGGTGGAACTGTCCTTAAGGGTGCAACAGTCTTGCCCAGAGCATGAAACTTAGTATTTATGTCATTGCTTTTGCCTGCTTTAAATTCATCAGATAATTCTAATACAGGCAGGAGCTGGTGGCAACACCCTAGTTGGGGACCACTGAGGTAGGCAGAGTGGTAGCACCCCTGGTTCAGAAACAAATTCCAGAAAAAACAGGGGTGTACTGACTCTCAAAAGGTTTCAGAGCTACTTCCTTAAGCAAAGCAAATGCTGCCCCCCCCCCCCCAAAGAAACAAAAAAACCAAGAAAACAAACGAACAAAAAAACCAACCAAGCCAGCACATTGCACTCATTTGTTTAATTTCAAGGCAGGAAGGCCAATCCTTTATGTATCATGCAAGTGGTTTTGACGTGCAGCATAATTTGCTTTATATTAAAAAAGACATGATTAACGTGAGTTAAAAAAAAATCCTTGTTGAGGTCCTTTAAGTTGAGCATACTGTAAGGGTGCAAAATCCTTTAAACAGGGGAGGAGCGGAAATTGAGTGTTTCTGTTAACTGGAAGAGCACTTCGTACAATCTCACCCTTTTTGCAGCCCCTCCCTTTTTCTGCATGTTCTTGCCACTTGTCCACAAGCTCTTGGATAGCCTCAACAAAACAGTGGAGCTATAAGCATGTTGATATGAAATATACAAAGTTAAACTCTTCTTCAGCTACAATAATTGTAGAGATTACATACACTGGAAGATTAAGTTTTCCAATATGTTGGTATCCCTTTAAATTTTGAAGAAACTGTCTATCTGGATTCCACAGAAAATTGAGGCAAGAATATTACTGTGTAAGATTACTCACAGATTACTTTCCTTGTTCTTATTCTATGTTAAAAAATAATTTTTTAGAACTAAATTGAACTGGATTTATCTTCCAGACTTTTTGCTTTTCTTTGCTTTAATAATGAAAACATAAGCATGAATTAATGCCATGTTCCCATTGTTTTGAACATCATGAGAAACGTGCAAAGGCTAAAGCAAATTTAGTAACTTGCAGTGCAGTGACTCTTTCAATTGGAGAAGCTGTGAAATGAGGCTTTTTCTCCAAGTGTAAAAACATACTTGCTGCCAAAAGCCAGTTTAACTTCAGAATTCAACATATCTTTCACTTAAAGATTTGATGTTATGAACTTGCTATATAGCTTTGGTAGCTATAGCTTTGATAGTTGGTATTTCAGCTATAGTTGTGGCAGTTGGAATAATGTCTGTGCTCCATCCTGTACAATGGCTAGAGCTTATGACTAGCTACTTCAGTTTTGTTTTGAAATGACTTCCCAATTTGTTTCTTTACAAAGATATTGGGAAGAAGAGAGTGATGAAATTTGATGTTTGCAATTCATCTTTTATTAGAGAGAAGTGAAAAATGAGGTGTAGCAATAAGGGATTTTTATACTAACAGAATTGATTCGATTTAGTTTTTTCAATCTTTCTTACTTTGGGGGTCTGATCTTTACATGCCCACAAAGAAGGTATATATAGTTTTGTTTTTGTATAGTTTTGCTTTTTCAAATAAGTTTCTGCATGTGATTACATTCTACAAACACATTCTTTTTGTGTGCTTGCAAACATCAGATTGAATCTCATTTTGCTATCTAGTCTATATCCTGCTGGCTTTTGTGTGCTTTCATTTCAGTCTCGTGGTTCCTGTTTACTTTTTTTCATCAAGGAGATGACAAATAGAAAACTCAAGCAGGTTATTCACAAGCTCTAGAGTTATGAAAACTGTAAATAACTCAGGATAGTATCATATTTAGTTTGGAGGATTGGAAGAATGTGTGCACAACCCACCCTGCTGCCAGGGTCTTAGTGCTGAACTGCTTCTTAGAAGCAACAGGAAAGACAATTTCCTGTTAATTTCAGTTTAGTTATTCAAAACTTTAATCTTCAGGAGTAAAGTAATCGTGCTTGTTAATTTTGACATGCCTGGTAGTGTGTGTTGGAAATACCTGTGTTAAGTATCTTTGCATTGTGATACTCAAAGTATCATAGTTCTTATCCTAATTCAAATATGTTAGTGAGGTTGAATGATGTTTCATAGTTGGTAGGGACCTGTGCATATCATCAAGTCCAACCCCCTGCCGTGGGCAGGAAAGAGT